GTCATGGAATATTTACCTACATAGTGAATTAGTTTTTGGGTAAATGTTGGTAAATACTCCGTACATGGAGCATTGGATGAAGGTGTTTGACATATGTCGATATCATGTGACCGGACACTGATAAAAAATCTATGTGTTTGATAGGAAACCCCTTCGTTTCCTGCTCATTTGCGGGCTGCAGTTGGGATTCTCACAACAATGGGGCTGCGACCACTCACGATTCGAATTAGGAAGACATAGGAAGACCATCGACATATGAAATAAGTTGGACATAAGCAGATTTAACCAGAGTCTGTTCTTCGATTGCAAGCTCTGAACCTCCATGATTAGTCTGGATAAACAGAAGAAAGTCATTCCGCGATGTTCCCCCAATCTCAACCATAATCTATGGCGCCGTCGCAGCGAGGTCGCGAAAAAAAGTCTCCGAATATGTGTTCAAATCTATCGTTTCTCTCTGATATATCATCATAGAACGCATTGTTCACTGGTTAACATGTTAAATGCCTATTGGTGAAGAGGTTAAACACCAAATTATCAAGAAACATATCATGTATGTAAATATGAACATGTGTATATATATATATATATCTGGGCAAATTGTAATAATTGAGTAACCTCAAATGTTGGGCCATTTTGGGGTATGTATCCCCTTATTAACAATGATTCCAATGAGGTCGCAGTGAGGTGGTTATAATTTGCCCAGATTAATGGTATATGAATATGAATGGGATATTATCTCCATTAATGGTTATATTAAGATCAATGGGATATATACATATATATATATATACAATGTGAGGCCCCCAAGATAGCTAAGTTGGTGCAAATAACTCCAATAACTATGGTTTATGGTAGCAAATAACGAACTAGTTACTGGGGCTTTTGTTAACCAACAAACATATCCTGGGGGCCTCACATTGTATAGATGTACTATATATATATATATATATTTATTTATTTATAATGTCCATGTTTCCGGATGAAAATCGCCAAGGTTGGGGATGAACACTAAACCCCTATTGTTCATGGTGTCAAACTTCCCCAAATACCAAAAAAACAGGTTTAACATGATCAAAACATATCAAAACCATTCAAAACCGCTATAAATGGATGGAAATGGATGGAACAAAAAACGAAAAACAAAAAAAAAAGCAAAGAACGAATCAACCAAGGTTTTTGAAGCCAAGAAACACCGCTGTGCCACTGCGCTCCACCGAAGCGACCGTTTGGTGCAAGTCTTCCGTCCTCGGGGAGAACGTGGTCAAAAATGCTGGGATTTTTGTTGACCTGAAGAAATGCGCGTTTCATGGAGAAATGGAGGGAAATCCCATCTGAGAAACTATGGATATCTATAGATGTGAGGCCCCCCAGATATGTTTGTTGGTTAACAAAAGCCCCAGTAACGTAACGTTCGTTATTTGCGTACCATAAACCATAGTTATTGGAGTTATTTGCACCAACTTAGCTATCTTGGGGGCCTCACATTGTATGGATATCTATGGATCATTGACCGTTTGTATGAATTTCTTCAATGCCAGTTTTTTTGAGAGAAAAAACTGAAACACTTGAAATCACTTGAAGGGCAAGCAAGTTTCACCAACAGATTGTTGGATCTTGAGAAAATCACGTGGGATTCGGCTGACCCAAATGGGATTTCAACCCACTAAACTGGGAATGTGACAAACGCTACAGATCCGCGTCAAGCAACCAACAAATACGCTAATCAACCCCTATAGTGTAAGTATAGGGTTACGATGTGGAACCAGCAACACCTGCAGGAACATAGTATTGCACGAGACAATGCTACTTTGACACAAACATACATTTCAACCCAAAATTGTTCCTTAAGCAGACTTCCGCAGCTAAATTAGTTGATAGGAAAATGACACAACAAAATTCTGTTGTAGCCTGATCTACCCTCTGGTAATAACTAACATAGCTTTTGAACATGACCATTTATAGTGAATTTTCCCGTAAAAAAATGTGATTTTCCATAGTTTTTTGTATGTTTACCAGAGGATATGTCTCTATTTTCCCATGCATTTTCCCACTCAAGTGACCATCAACCTATAGGACTCAGGTCGACACGTGGCTCCGAGCTCAGACCTAAAAGGTCTACCCTCCCGTGTCATTAAACATGGCTGGTTGGAAAATCATGGAAAATCATGGAAAATCATGGAAAATCCAGTATACATGGAGTTTTATGTTTTTTTTTGAATCAAATATAAATATGGGTCATTTGGGTCATTTTGCATTGTCGGATTACTGGAGGGTGTCAGGTTGGAATGTGAGGGAATCAATTGGTTTGAGGGAAAATCTACAGGAAACCCATTTCTGGCAAGGTGTATCCAATTCAGGGAGGAAATCTCTGGCAGAATATGGTCTAATGTACCCTAAGGTGCTATATATTCATATGTTTTGATGCAATTAAGAATCCGGTAGCTCAATTTCGAGTACCTACATGGACCTTAATTAAAATATATCAGAACTTTATTTCATGATGCTTGACACCAACAAAACAGGTCACATCTTGTGTCTACAGCATATGATCAAAATGGTCATTTACAGTAGAATCGTAGCAACAAACTCTGGGTATCCAATATGCAGCATTTAAGTTTTCTGTCCAAAAAAAACTGGAGGAGTATGCAATTGTTTCTTCAACAAACTCATTCCCCCCCTGTTGTCTGGGAAACCATCTATGAAAGGTTGGAGGGGCCCTGCCATTTCAAAAATTCAAGTCTGAACCCGAAAACATGTTGTCCTAGGGAGACAACATAATTGAGGGCACCACATGATAAATCCCAATGATCCACAGTTCCAAAATTTCAACCAGTCGTTTCCACAGTGTCATCTTGGCACAATATTTTCAGAGACACAGTCTCGGGCAGTACGGAACTATACGGAACTAGCTAACTCCCCAGAAAGTGGACATGGAACCCTCTACTCTATTATATCGATATTTAAATAAATAAATAAATATATATATATATATAATATATATATAATATATATATATATATACGTATGCAATTTTTAGATGATTTACCCATCTAAAAAGGGAAATGTCCTTTTTTAATGTTAAATTAGCAGCGGGTAAACCAGAAACATAACTATCTATTCTCTTACCCATGCGAATCCTGGTGTTGTCAAATTCAGGACTTCCATGCCCAACTTTCTGCTGGGTAATATCCGACAAGTGCATGGTGTTTTTGCACGTTGCAGATTCAAGGTCAGGTCAGACCCACGTTGCCCGTGCTTGGAACTTGCGCAGTGCCGGCTGGAAAATCCACCGTCATTGACTTCGATGATTGTCCCGTTGAAGCACCATTTACCATGACTGGTGCGGTGCGTGCTACGCAGGGAATTTTCGGGAATGATCCATGCAAAATCCCTAGTAAATCATCCCAGCAACCCCCAGCAACCCATCCATTCCCTACGTTTAGCACCGGTAAGTTTATAGATGATGTGTCCATGTTTTTTTCATATCCCATGGTCCAAACCGCCACCGGGGATTTCCCACTGGCCATCCATCCAGGCCACTAAGTGTCGCCTAGCGGCGACTGGTTTTCGAGTTGATTTCCCATCCGAATTTAGTAGTCCCAATAGCATCTTTCATGTGGCTGGGTAAATTATAATATTTCACTAACCTGAATTAAGGCCATTTGGGGATGATTTCCCTTACTAACCATGATTTCCAGTGAGGTCGTAGTGAGGTCGTTATAATTTACCCAGAGATTATGCCAGCTATAAAAATGCTGATGACTGGAGGATGGTAAACATCATTGGGTTTACCATGGTTTACCGATGTTTACCACAATGGAAATGATTCATCCCACGTCCCAAGGCAAATAAACCATGACACTGAGTGTATCCCCGTTTCACCACCTAATTAAACGGGACTTGTGTCACCTCATTTATAACTGGCTGTTAGTTGGGCCATAATTCTGTAGTTACATGTAGTTACCTTAAGCACCAGCACAGTTAAGCACAACTGGTGTTTGGAGTCATCCTCCAAGCACCCTGGCAAACAAACGCGTTCCAAGCACAGCCGGGCACAGATCCGTCGCTACGGCTACGATTTTCGACGGCATTCTGAATTGCCCACTGCAGTGAGTGCCCCAAACCAGGAAGTTACTCATTATAAGCTTTGTTTGGGTATGTCTGCCATTTTTTGTGACTTCAATCTCAATGTGCAGTACCCTCCGGTGTTATCAAACGTGGTTTGCTGGATTTGTTTCCCCATTTACACATTATTATATACTATATACGTTTATGGGGACCTTCATTTATGGATTATATCCATTTATGGCACATACATGCACATACTATTACATAATACTAATAGAACTGTAAAACAAACCGCAACAGCCAAGTGCAAGGGACAAAATGTTATAGTTTGTATATAATTTCCCGTATTGCTATTTTTGCTATATACTGTATGTTCCATGAAGACCTCCATTGAGGACTGTCCCGCCAATTGATGACACGGAAAGAAAAGTGACCCGTGAGGTCAACGACTTCCATCCCATTCCATCCCTCCCAGAAACTCCTCACCCCTGAGAATCATGACTGAGATATCTATGGAAAAATTAACTGGGCCTTGTCTGCTTCATGTTATGACCCACGATAACTGGCTGAGATGCAATATTTCCCTAGATTTCATGCTCTCACATGTTCCCATGGTCAATCTCTGTTTGTCCACAAACAAAGTCTTGCCGCTTCTGGCTTTGTTTCATTCGCCATCCAGTCGGTTGGGGATGAATAAGCGACTGGAACATACATTAAATCCATCATGACATGTTATAACAGCTAGTTTGTTACATGTTTAGGTCTTTAGGTAGGAACCTTTTGCGAATAGGACTTATGACTTATATAGATATATTTATAGGCTGTTATAACCATATTATAACCCAACAAAAACATAGCTCAAGCCGAAGCCGGGGCCAGCTTTCACTGATTTCGAGGCGTCATTTCGAGGCGACGTGGACGCCATCGTTGCCTCAACGTTCGCTTGCGACGGCGTCGTTGCTGATGCCCACGGGAGTGAGGCAGCTGCGCGGCGATGCGGCGGAAATGATCCTGGCCACGAAACACGGGGAAATGGGGGGAGTTCAGCAACAAGTGGGATCTATATATGTATATAATTATATATATGCGATGTTAATGGATATGAATGGTTTCGATTAATTAATAATGATTAATAATAATGGTTAATAATGGTTAATGTGATTTTTTTCATGGATATGAATGGCAGATTTTGGTTGCTTTAGAAGTACAGTACATGTTGGACTTATGGTGGACAAGTATGTGCATAATATAAATATGTACATATAGCGTGCGTGCATTCTAATGGGTGAAACTGAACCAGTAAATTTCTGCTGGCGATTCAAAAGTTACAGGGATCCCTAGTTGTGCACCGTCGTAGTGCTGTCCAAATCGGAAATCAGAGGGCACTGTCATAATCGATATCAAAAGGTGCTCGTTATGCGAATTTCTGCTCGTGGTCGACGTTTGTCATTGGTGCTCACTTTAGTGAAAAGATATACGAAACCCCAAACAACCACAAATTCGTGCTCATATGCGCTCATTGAAAGATCCAGGTATAAAGAAAGGAAGCAAAAAAAAAACGCAGCAAGACGACCAGAGAATGAGCAGATTGCTGCCCACATGAGATTTTGGTTGAGTAGTCCCAAATGTGGCGGAACCATGAATGGTCCTCACAGAAAAGGATCATGTGGGAAACACGAATATGTGGTACCCTCCGGTGTCATCCATGGTTGGCTGGGAATCCCCTGTAGATGGAGGTCCTCAACGGGAGAATCTGATCAGCGGAGGTATCCCTACAATGTGTCACCCAGTGCCCTCATAATTCACCAGCCAAACAATAAATAGCCACCCAGTACCTAGCTATTAGTTGCTGTATATGATTCCCATCCAAGCATATACAGTTATACATGTATACGTATATTATATATATATATATATATCATGCAGCATAGTTGCACGTACACATCCACAATAAATCCTAGTTAGCCATAGTTAGCCCCGTTATAAACCAACTTACCTACATAGGGGGGGGCCGTCCTGAGCAGCAAACTCCAACAGCAAAAAAAATAACATCTTTGTCTTCACACAACCATCTTCACACAACAATGCTCTCATGACTCCCATAGAAGGATAAAACAAAACTCTTATTAAACTCCACTGTGACCTTCGCCTTCGCCAAAAAAAAATCAAGTCTATTTTCATGTTTTTCATGCTGGTTCCAAGGAGGACAATCGTTACCATGTACCATCTGGTTATTTAACAGTTTGCCATGGAAAGATCAACCCATTTTTACTAGGTAAACCCAGGTAAACCATATATTTCTATGGGCCATCGAAAAACCATGGCTATGTAAACGTCATAACCAGGTTGGGTAACTGTACCAAAACCATCTGAAAATCGCGGCAAAAACTGCCCTCAACTGCTGGCCATTGCTGGCTCCAGGTCAGGCAGGTCTCCTCAAGGCTTCTCGGAAACGTTGATCCATCTCCATCTCTGCTTTCTTCTTAGGCTCAACGTGGTTCACCTCGCGCAAAACAAAAAACAAAAGGCATACGGATTGAAATGGTGGAAGAATTTTTAAGCCCTCTGGATGATAACAACCGAAATTTTAACCTAAATATCCAAATACATACAAGTTGATACATAACTATGTCAATTATGTGTTTCACTACCTGGAGGAATACAATAGCTTGTTTTTTGATAATTATGATCCCACCAAATCTCACCGATATTATTATTCACAAGGAAACCATCTAAACACAGCTTACTGAAAAACAAGACTTATGGCTTGCACATGTTCAGCTAACTTTGCCGGAGGTTATTGTTCAGATGCAGAACCAGGTCAAAAGAACCAGCACGGTACAATATCTGGATGGTACCCCATCTTACAAATCTCCATCACCATCTCCACTATGGCGTATCCTAGCGGCCATCCCGGAATCCTACCACCCTCTTTGATTCCTTTGTGGCTTCTGAATTATACAAGAAAGGATGAAAGTGCATCCCCTGCAACTGTTTCAGCCGGAAAAAATCGGTCAGCTCGGTCATAGATATCTTACTTCCACTGTTATTCTATCATTCTTACCATCTGGTTATGACTAACATAGCCATGGAAAGATCCACCCATTTTTAAGAACGGTAAACCATCTATTTCTATGGGCCATCTATACCATGGCTATGTTAGTCATAACCAAATGGTATCCCATTTTCAAAGCCTCCACGGTTTCTTTTATCCTGCCGCAGCCGAGCAGCGAAGGTTCCGGTGGCCAGGAGAATGATGCCTTGTGGCAGAAACACCCCAGTTCCGCCCTCAAAAAAATGCCGAAGTTGGATAAAAATTGGACACATGTGTGTTCTTCTATGTTTGGTGATTATTGCGCAATACAAGTTAATTTTCCACATGGATTGTACTCTGTTTGATCCTTGTAGCTTTAGTGGATACTTGTCTGTCAGCTTTAGCGGGATCATCAACGGCAGTCTGAACCTGCAACTCCTAAAGAGCAAATGACCTTTGAAATCGAAGACTTCATGCTTGAAATGAAAAGGAAACGAAGATGGCTTTGAAAGTGAATGCTTGCATGTATTCAAGGGTTAGGTGTATCTACTTTATAGTTTTTTTTGGTTTTATACATATATATATATATATTACTAATAATTATCTAACCATATTAACCATATTATCTCTATTGACCATATGAACCATACTAACCCTCATTTTGATTGATATGTATGATATGTATTTTCATCTTTTGATATTGAAATCTCCGACTTCCAGGATCAAAAAAGATTTTGGCCAGCGGATTACTAGACCCCCGGGTGCTTCTTTGAATAAGGGGTTCCCCTAAAACAGTGATAGCATTGGTTAATCTAGAACTAAACACATAGTACATATTCTCCTGAAAATGGTGATAATGCTGGTTAATCATTGTTATTCTTTTACTAAACAGATAATCTGCTACTAATCACAATTTAGTTTTTCAGTGGAACAGCCCAGAAGTGAAAGCGCAAAATCTCGATTTACGGTAACCTTGCAATATCTTGCAATACATTGTAATATATCATACGTTGACAGTATCCAAAGAATCATATATCACCCTTCTTTGAATACATATCAGTACTACCGCCTTGAAACTCTGGTTTAGCATTCCATCTGTTCATTGAAGACCCAGAGGTTTATGGAGCTTTATGGGTTTCCAAGGCATGGGGTGACCCCTTCAAAACGGATGGTGGATGATTTCAGGGGATAAATGGATGACTTAGGTACCCTTCAGTAAACTAACATAGCCATTGAACATCCCCATAGAAATGGGTGATTGGCCTATTGAAAATTGTGATTTTCCATAGTTGCGTTAGTTTACCAAAGGGTAACCTTCATATTGGATATCAAGGGGATGGGCTTACATCCAAAGACGCAGTCTTCGCCCTGGCCTGGAACTTGGTCTGCCTTCTTCGGTCGTCGCACCGGAATTTCCACAGGTTTCCACAGTGATACACCAGTGATACCCCCAGTTGTCAAATCTCATCCCCAAGCTGATTCAAAAAGGTGCAGTCTATCTGGATCCCTCAGCTCCATAGCTATCATATGCTTTGCAAAAAATCATCGGAAAATCATCTGAATCTGAATGAAATCCAGCATACTTCCATCTGGTTGGTGGTTTTAACCATCTTGAAAAATATTAGTCAATGGGAAGGATTATCCCATATATTATGGAAAATAAAAACTGTTCCAAACCACCAACCAGCCATGTCTTTCCTGAAGCAAAAGCCTTTTAAAGCCTCCATGTCCTGCAGGGATTTCCCAGCCAAGGTGCCAAAGTGTTGGAACAAGGCGACTTCTTCATGGAGCCAGGCTTGTGAGAGCGCAATCACCAGGATCAGATTCAGATTCCCCACGATACTTTGCCTTAATTAATAGCCGCCGGAGTCGGCCAAAATTGAAAAAAGGGGCATAACAAAGGGGATAATCCAATCACAAAGCACATGATGAGTTTCCTGCAAAATTGCACCCTAGGATGTGAATGCTAAATAATGCTAAGCTGGTTTATAGTACTGAACAAATCCCACATTTCACCAGGCAATGGTGGGGATTATATATATATATATACTATATTATATAGATATCAGCAAACATAACTGCGGCGCACCACCTTGTGCTCGTTCCAATGGTCAAGTTCCACGGGGTCAATTGGGCTATGGTCATCTCATCCCCATCGATCTGGAGATGACCATGGGAAGAAAATTCCGCTTTGTAACATATCAACCTTCCCCATTCGAGTCACAATGTATATTCAATATATAAATGGGCTATTTCATGGGATATTAATGGATTATAATAGGACTTAATGGGATATAACTTATAACTGATATAACTAAGAATAATATGATATCTCCCTCTGGTCATCTAACTGAGTCGGCGAACATATCATCGCCATCGCCGTTTCTTCAACAGGTAAAAACATAATTTCCTTTCATGGGGGCATCATCCACTTAACATAGTTTTCCCAAAACAAATTGATCCACAGAAAATCGGTATCAATGGTATCAATGGTATCAATCCAGATCTGAAGATCTGGTTTTCAGTGGGTTAAGGCCTTCAAATGAAAGGGCCAAAATGAAAGCATTTTAGGCATCCCAAGCTGGAAAAGGATAGGCTGAGAAGGTGCGAGTCAATCCGCACGCCCTATAGGCTGAGAAGGCGAGACAAACCCAAGGTTTTCATTGTATCAATCCCTAGTATTTTCCATTAAATCCACCCACATGAAAACCGAAAACATGAAAACCATCGTCATTTAAGTATTATATATATGTATGTATGTATGTATGTATGTATGTATATCTAATACGATATCCCATTCTGCTCCCATCATCCCCCAAAAGTGATTAGTTATAAGTACTTCAACATGCAGGTGTTCGGTCTTAGGAATTGCCCATGTTTTCTTCATGAGCAGTTCCCCAGCTGATCAGCGACAAAAAACACAACCCAGGTACATCAGAGCTCCCAGTTCCTTGACTGCTAAGACCTGATGAGCCGCTGAAAAAGGAAACTACCCTCTGATAGTAAACTAACATAGCTATTGAAAATGGCCATGTATAGTGAGTTTTCCCTGGAAAAATGGTGATTTTCCATAGTTTTTTGTATGTTTACCAGAGGGTAGGGCTGCAACCGACCAAGATCTCACTGGGGAACAACCGACAACTGAAAACTACCGTCCCATGTCATCAAACATGGCGGCTGGGAAATCCTCGAACGATTGATGGAGCTGTCAATGGGAAAACCCATCGAAATTTTCCAGACATGTTTCATGTTTGACTACCGAAGGCTTCCGTCTGGATTGATAATGCACTCGGATAAATCAAATTATATCAGGTGTTTTTTGAATGATCACCCCTACTTACTGTACACAGCTCCAACGGGTCTGTGAGCCATGGACCGGGCAATGATGACAAGGACACCCAGGCACCAACGGCGCGAAAGTCCACAGGAAAACCCGGAGCCCAAAAGAAAGTCGCAAATCCAAGGTGCACACAGCACAGGCCAAGAGCCCGTTGGATATGAATTACGAACCGCTAACTGCAAAATGACCAGAAAGATTACGTCTTTTACCATGAGAGGAGTGGAAATACCCATGGAGGATACAGAATGAATCAGAATTGTGGGAAAGAAGGGGCCGCACTCATTCCAGGTCGCAGTGAGGTCGCTATAATTCACCCATATACTGTATATGATCTGCTTTCAGATAGCGAATCAATGGCATTATGGGTGGAGAATGATGGGTACAATGTGGGGCCCCCAAGCTATAAAATGGTTTATAAATCCCATTAACTATAGTTATTTGCGGCGTATCATAAACCATAGTTATTGGAGTTATTTGCACCAACTTAGCTATCGTTTGGGGGCCTCACATGGTATATATACATACAGTTACATACCAATTAATAGGTCGTTATCTAGGGCTGCCACCTTCAGGTGCCATGTAACTCGGAACCACCCTCTGAAGGTGGTCATCAAAATGTGAGGAATTACCGAACTTCTGGTGGTTGTCGACATATCGAAATCCACGGAATGGGCTGGGAGCATTCCAATCTTTGAATCAAACAGCTGAGATTGAAAAACAACATGTCCTACCCATAGATGATCAACGAAAATCATATTTTTAAAAAAAAACATAGAAATTCAAAACAAAACCATTGGAAAATCATAGAAACCCACAATGTTTTGTCAAGGTTATTGCTCCTTCACTACAGCCGGGGGCACCTGCGTGATATTCAGCAGCACGCCAGCCACTGTAGAACCAAGTAAGGCCATCTTTGCTTCGAATGATACCATGTAGAGCTGGGGAAGGGCCTTAAAACCTGGAGGGTTCGGGTGACCTTGCGGTAAACTGACACTTTGATGTGGAAAATTGCCCATGTCGTATGGATGATAAGCATTCATAAGCCATAAAAAAAAGTGATTTTCCACATCCATGCTAAACTTTACCCTGGGATATCCTTGGGTCATCAAACGTGAAACATCTCTGAACCCAATAGCTCGACCTTGCCAAAGGTGTAGGGGTCAGAAGGCTACCTCTGATTTTTTTTATCCTCAAGGTCAAGCAGTTAGTTGAGGTGATGCTAGTTAGGGAAAAGGATAATTCATTCATAGTGGAACAAAAACTGATATTCAAATAATATTCCAATATGCGATATGCTATCGTATTTCATCTCATACATGTTGATTCACCAATGATGGCCAAGTAACCACATGTTTGGTGGGTGTATATATATATATATATGTATTTCGAAGCGTCCTGTTTTACAGAGTGCCTCGTGGTTGCTAGATGACTGAGGCTAGAGAAATAACTTCCGGCCCCAATCATGAACGGGAAACGGCCCTATTGATACTAACCCGTTCGGCCATCTCCCTTCCCAAGCCTGCTCAACTGTTTCAGTTGGTAAGAAACGGGGAAAGTCACCTAAAAACCTTCAAGAAGGTTAACCCTCATGAGGGACTGCCATTTACCCTAAAGAGGGATCACGGGGAAAAGTCACCCTAAAGAGGGCCTCAGAACTCAAGAGTTATGCCCATGAGACAAAAACCAGCCTGCACGGCGGTAAGAAAGGGCGGTACGAGGGTAGGGGAGGTTGAAAAGGCTACAACGGTGTGAAATACATACCTTCGTTGTTCACTCCCCTTTACCTAAATTACAAGGTCCGCTCAGCACCACTTAAATTAATGTATTTCGAAGCGTCCTGTTTTACAGAGTGCCTCGTGGTTGCTAGATGACTGAGGCTAGAGAAATAACTTCCGGCCCCAATCATGAACGGGAAACGGCCCTATTGATACTAACCCGTTCGGCCATCTCCCTTCCCAAGCCTGCTCAACTGTTTCAGTTGGTAAGAAACGGGGAAAGTCACCTAAAAACCTTCAAGAAGGTTAACCCTCATGAGGGACTGCCATTTACCCTAAAAAGGGATCACGGGAAAAAGTCACCCTAAAGAGGGCCTCAGTCATACCCCATTCAAACAAACCGAAAAATCTGCCCACTCAGAAAAATCTGCCCACTCAGACACTCAGTCACGCACCAAGTTTGTTTTTCTCTGGCGCAGCCGCAATTGTACTCCTTTGAGACGCCACTGTCTGACCCTTTTGGCCTGTTTCGGCGTCCAGGACAGATGGGCTAGTTGCATAGTGCCAGTGTCAACGTAGATCCGGCAAGTCTTTTGACATGCCCAACGGCCACGAGTCATGGTGGCATCCAAGTTCAAAGTAGACTGGTAGTACCAAGTTGCGCCACCCCTGCGTAATGAATAGGGCAGGTAAGACTGCACTGGAAAGCCCAAGTGCGTAAGCAGCTTTTGAAAGGTGCGGCGAAAAGAGTGTGGGCCAGCTTTCCACAGCAGCTGTTTAGGCTGCAGGGCCTTTTGCACCCTTTGAGCCATCACCAAGAGGGTATCATCCTTAATTTGCAGGACTTGAGGATTACCCTGAGAAGTCTTGGCGGTTGGTATCACCACACTAAAGGCTTGGTGAGACGAATGAATCATAAGATGATTCACCGTAAGCTGCATCATTTCTGATGTACGCAGCATGGCGTGGAAGCCCACCCCTAGGAGCAGTGCCAGCGGTTCATCGTTGCGATGTAAGGCAAGGGCAACCATAGCCTCCACTAGTTCCCATGATGCTGGAACTGCTCGTTTTGGGACATGAGCTCGCGTCCAATTGCGTAAGTATTGGGACGCAATGGGTAACTTCATCCTCAGTTCAGGGTGAAACCTCTTCAAGGCAGACAAAAGATGACCTGAGTAGGTCAATGGATCTCCTTCTTGGAAGGCCATATTGATGAATTCTGCCAAAAGGGCATCCAGTTGCTTTGGTTTGAGGGTGGTAACAGCATCTTTCCCAGCAAAATGAAGGAAGTTGTCAATAGCAAGTCTGTAGGCTCTGAGGGTGCGCGGCTGCAATCCAGCATATTTGAGATGGATCTTACGCTTCGTCATGTCGACGAGAGGCCTTATCACTGAAGTTCCACCGACTGATCGTCCAGACGGGGAACATGTAGGTGTTCTGAGCCAGTGAAATTGCAGCCTGCTTCCTCAGAGGTAAGTTGAGACGCCTACTGGATGACCTGCCCTTGCTAAGTGCTCCTCTTGAAACCGTGCTGTCCACCACATGAATCCACCTAGTGTGAAACTTGTTGCTGTTGCGAGCCCTGTGCTTGCCGGTCACAACAACGGCATTAAGCTCAAGCTCGTTAATGTGAGCTGGCTGCTTCCATGGGAAGCTGATGATCGTCTTCCACCGCCACAACATAGCGGGGTAAGGGACCTCGTGAGCCATTTCCTCACTGCCCAGCATGAGGTGGAAGCGGATGTCTGTGCCCCTCATTGATGCTTTGTGGAGCAAGCTCCTCAGATGCAGCTCCTCTTGATTTGGCCGCATTTCTTGTTCCCACCGGGCCAGGTAGGTAGCCACAGGCTTGGCAATAGACGAATCGGCCAAGCGTGCTGTGCTCTTCTGAAGTTCCTCCTGGTACCAGTGCTCGCGAGCTTGTGACTTGACTTGTTCAAAGACCCTCTCCTTGTCCAATTGGGCACGCAGTCCTCTCGCATAGGCTAAGCAAAGTGCCCAGGGATACTCTGCCTCTTCCTCAGTAGGGAAGTACAAGGAGCCATCAGGATTTTGCTCGGCTTCATAAGTCAAGAGGCCAGGATGGCCCGGGCACTCCACTGTGAGGCGTTGCTTGATCTCCTCAGAGGATACCAAGAAGGAGTAGAACTTCTGCCGGGCGCCACCAAAACAGCAGCTAGACCCAATGGCGTGCTGCAGGCCAAGCTCTTCCAACTTCTTGGCTAGAGTAAATTGCCACATCCAACTGTTCTTGGGATGCTCGGCTGTCCAATGCCGTGGCATGCCCGTCTGCTTTGCAGCTTCTCCTCGGCGCAACGCCTTGAGGGCCATCGCATTGCTCTTCCTGAGACGGGCCTTCATGTGCGACTTCAACCATGGAAAGCCCATGACATGACGGGCGTCGCGCACCGGTTGGGGACCAGAAATGGTTCGCCCTGATGCCAAACGGATCTTCTTTCCTCTCGCACGACTAAAAAGCTTGCATTCCGGTGCCCAGTGCTCACAATACAAGAAGGGGTCCTCCAGGAGTTCTGTCATCTCCTGTCGCCCAGCATCCGAGAAGAAGTCATTTCCTCGGAGTAAATCAAACGGTTTTTGCACCTCGATGTGGCCCATTTGAGCTACTGCATGAGACAGCGGAGCATGGGGTCCTGAGAATCTCTCACCAAACTTGGGTAACCCCCAGTCCTTCCTCGGGGAGCCTCGCTTGTGGCGGCCTGAGCGCTTGCGGTGCTCCCAGATGCACTCCAAGGAGCACAAAACTGCGCCACACTGCGAGGGGCAGGGGTATCGTTGTTCAGAGCGGAACACTCGCTCACACCACCAGCACTCACCCCCTTCATGATCCACCGTAAGGGGCTCCTGCATAAAGCTGTCACTGACTGCTGCCCCACCTCCTGTCGGAGAGGCATCTGAGCATGTAATCTCCTTGTCAAGGGTGAGTCGAAGACAGGACCCCATGAACGGGACCATTGTCAATACCATGAGGAGCTCATCAATGGCACCCCTGCTTGGCTCCAGCTGGTCTCTCTTTGTGAGGTTCTGCAAGTCCGTGAAAACGTCCTGAAAGATGCTCAAAAGGGGTCGCCTGAAACACATCCCAAAGGTGGCCTTTCCAATCACATGCCTGAGTTGGAACTCACGCCACTGCGGCGCGGTGACCATGCCCACACAGAGGGAAATGAAGTCGACCTGCTTGTCCGGGGCCAGCTTGTACCAACCCTTCTTGCCGTCTAGGAGCCCTCCTTGCAAGGTGCCTCTTGTGGCTCCAACCAACCTCTTTGCCTCATTGAGCGGGAGGCCTTTCTCCTGACAGACCTCTTGAAACCTGAGATGTCGGGCTGATGCTTTACCCTCCAGCACTTCAGCACACTGAGCATCAAGTCGTCTCAGCTCATCATATGAGTCTAGGTAAATGACTGTGAGGTCATCAGTGTCAGGCATCTGCTTAATCTTGGCCACCTCGGAGGACTCCGGTATCTGCGCCCCTTGGAAGACCAATGACCTGACGACAGATTGGATCACCGTTACAGCGTTGATCCATCCCATTGGGACAACCGCCATAGCCGGATACACCATGTGTCCAGCCGTACCACCCATGTACTTGGCGTCCACCATCAGATCAAAGCACATCATCCCACGCCATGAGGCGGGTAAAGTAAAAAGGTTGAAGCAAGAACAGAAGTCCTCAGAATCGACCAATAGGGCTTCATCATCCTCAAGCCCCATCAAGGTCAGCTGACCTAAGTACGGGAGGAACTGATCACCCCCGCTGAGGTGAGCCAAGTACTGATTGATTGGGATGAAGTTTGAAATGAACCTCTGCATGGTTCTCTCTTCACCTCCAACAAGTTTCAGTTTCTTCACTCCGCCAGCTCCATTAAGGACCTTGTGACCCGCGCCATCTCTAAACACCTGATCTTCTTCCATTGGAGCCATCAAACCTCTGTCATATCCTGCCTGAACAATTTTGTTCCATTCTTCTTGTGAGGCTCTGACTCGGCTTTTTGTAGGCTTTTCAGGCCATTCCCATCGCGGTAGCAGGCAGTTGTTGGGGTCTTCAATCATCTCTGCCAAGTCGGACGGCAGGTAAGGCATCACAGGTTGTATGGCCGCCTCACCAACTTTCGGCCACACTGGGATGACCTTGTCAGCTACCAGGTCCTCCAAGATCATGACTGGCCATCCAGCATAATCAAAACGAGCCTTGCTGAGGATGAGATCTGCATCATCCACCGGGGGGCAAAGTTTCTCCTCCGAGGCTAGGTCCATGACCCTTTCCTTGATGTGAGAAAGCATCTTCTCTTGCCCTTCTGACAGCCGCTGAGGTGGAGGCATGTCGCGTGCCTGATTGTACCTGCCACCCATCGCCAGGAAGTTGAGGACCAGCAATGACAGCTTCATAGCGTCTCTTAAGGCCTCTGGAAGAGCAGTGAACCTGTCCATCACCAAGGGAGAAAGAGGTAGGAGATCATTACCTCGTGGGTTCTGGACGGAGTCGTCGGGAGGCACTCTGGGTCCCTTGGAGGATTTGGCATAATCTCCTAAAGGTGATGAGACATGATCCAACAACTCCCAAACCTTGGCAAACACGTCTACCACTGGCCTTCTTTTCGCCAAGAATTTCCTGAGCGATGAGCGCCAGCTAGGACCGGTAGCTTCCTCAGTCGACTGTGACACCGGCTGAGCCTGGTGAATCAGCTGGTCTCGTTGTCCTTCTTCTTGGTCTTGCCCTTTCCTGCGTGTTCTCCTCCTGCTGCTTTGCCTTTTCCTTTCTCGCCCTTGCGATCTCCCCGACCGGCTCCTCCTTTGTGGCGATCGTAGTGCGTCACCTTCATCGTCTGGAGGTACTCCTTCGAAAGGTAAACCTCTTCGTCGCGATCCAGGAGGCTGGAGGTCTCGCTTGGTATGAGTTCCAGAAATTGGGCTGTGGCCCAATGCCCCTCTGACGTTGCCCGTTCTAAGGCCTTGACTCGCTGGGCCAATATGTCGGCCGCTCTTGCTGGGGCCTTCTTGGCCAACAAGTCCAGCGCCACCATAATGGTCCTCAATTCTCTCTGCGTCCTGAGGTTCATCCGACTTCCCAATTGCGGCATCATGAGTGTCAGCAGGTAGTGAACCGCTATTGCGGGGGTCTTTTCTTGACTCCCCTCTGCCGCCCCTCCCGAGCCCAGCGCCACCTCGTTCTTCATCTTCATCAACAGGCGGGCGGCTAGACGCCCTGGGCGGCGGTGGCTGTAGGTGATCAGGGCCTGCTGTCCCGATTTCACCGGCTGGGGAGGGGCCGACCGAAAAACTGAACTTCGGTCACTGTCGGAAGAATCATCACCAAACTCTACCGGTAGTCCTGACCCAAATGGTCCACGATCACCTCTCTTCGGGATCGGGTCAGGGTGGTCCTCCTCTTGGCCTGTCTTTTCGAACAAACCGACCTCTGGGCCCTCCTCACTTGAATCAGAAGGGAACCCCTTCTTCCTCCTCTTTGAGCCATCCTTATCTCTGCGGGCTTTCTTCTTCTTGTCCTCACTTGAATCTGCTCGGCGCCTCTTTGGCTTTTTGCTACGGCCTCTGTGTTTTGACACCTCCGAAGAGGGTGAAGGTCGACGCTGCTTGTCCTTATCCTTGTCTTTTGCCTTCTTCTTTCCCTTGGTTTTTGCCTCTTTGGCTTCTCCTTTTCCTTTCTTCTTTTTCTTGGCTTTGGCCTGCTGCTTTTCCAACTTCTTAAGCTGATCTCTGACCTTCGGTATTTTCTCACCAATGGCTTGATCGGAGGATCCTGACGCTTCAGATGACTCGCCAGCCTCCTCTTCAGCATCCTCGGCTTGCGCCCAAGGGAGCGGCACAGCATCGTCGCCCTCCAACTTGTCTGACTGCATCTTCAGATCGAAGGCCTCGATGTCTTTGCGCGCCTGCCCCTTGAAGGCCCAGTCCGGCACACGGTTCTGCCATTCTTTTGCTCCGATTGTCCGGAACTTCTCAAGGTGCACAAGGGGATGACGTCCCTTGGTAAACTTGCAATCCTGGACGTTGCCCTCACAGGCATGATAGAGGCCACGCTGTGCTCTCTTCTTTCCTTCACCTTCAGTCATCCACCATCTGTAATGGCTGTCTGAACAGGCCAGAAACTCTGCTGAGAGCAGGTGACCTTCTCCTGAAGTGCTTTCATGACTGTGCACGCGTAGCAAGATGAACCCCTGTGCCTTCCCTGTGTCGTCACGCACCGGGGCTTCAATGAGCTCACCTTCTTTAAACCGATATTTGTACCACCGGTTTCTGTCGATGTCACCTCCCAACCACATGTTGGGAGGGTGAATCTCCCACTGGCGTACCACCTGGTAATCTGGGGAGCCAGGGTGGTTGCCTTGAGGTTGAAAAGGCTACAACGGTGTGAAATACATACCTTCGTTGTTCACTCCCCTTTACATAAATTACAAGGTCCGCTCAGCACCACTTAAATTAATATATATATATATACAACGTATATATCAAACCACAATCGGACTGAATTTACGCCGATGTGTTTTACTTGAAACCTGTGCGGAGAATAATTGAATTAGTTGTATGATTGTATTGATTGTTGTATGAGTTTTTGGAAAACATTGATTGGCTTAAGGGAAACACACACATATACATATAATATGCTCTTTAACCCCTTGATGTAAAATTTGGAGAAGTTCCGTTCAACCAATGGAATAGTGATTAGTGATGGCTGACAAACCAACACTCCCAAATATTGAGATTATATCGCAACTATACCCAACAAGCGTGGACAAAACGGCAGCAATGATATGTTCTTCAATATTTCTCAAGAGGTTGTCACAAACGCCCAAAACAGCTGTTTCAATGAGATAATGATGATTACCTTGATCAAACGGAAGATGGCTAAAGTACATATATATATATAAGTAAATATGTAATGGAGGATTAACCACAAATATTGGGGGCTGTACCCTGCCTCAAGGGGAACATTAATCAATTTGTGCTTCTAAAACGTGCTTGTGTTGGAAAATGCACTCACACACACACATATATATATATAACTAATGCAATGAGGCCTAAACTACCAAATACTCGTGGTCGTGGTGACATCAAACCACAATGGCAAAATAAGTGTTGATTGAACTTCGAGACTTACCATGACTTACCAACAAAAAGGTGTTCACAAACAAGAAGAGAGAGTTAATCAGATCTATTGACAGGGCTAGGTCAAAATTTAAAGGCTGCATGTCATTTTCACCCCCAAAGGTAGTGAAATGTCTCATTTGCAAATCATAAGGCAAGGTGAGCCCACCAAATGCAAACAAATAACTAAGTTGGTTGCAATCTAGAACCCCAATAGCAAGGATTTAATGTAGATGCATCCATAGTTCTATAGTTCTACGAGGTTTTTTTTCCTAACACCTTGGGGGGCTTTTTCCGCAAGCTGCAACTAAATTTGGGTGATGAAAATATCCACCATATCAAGCTGATTTAAAATCTCCCCATACAAAGTGTCAACAACCTTGGGTTTGAGTATAGGTGCAAATTTACATATGAATTTAGGAACATCATATTGGGATGAGCATTGACGGAAACTGACGGTTAAACTGCAGACAATTTTCCAATTTTCCATGACTCCCCATGATGGTTCCTGCTATGCTGCTCATCTTCAACAATATTCCGAACATGATAAGGCAGGTACCTGGGTGGCAGCTCTAATTTCTTGCTGCTTGAATGGAAAGCTGAGTTCAACCCCGAGTTCTTAGTTCTTGTTGGTTAGCATTCCCTCATTTATCTGGATAAATATCCATGATTCACTAAACCTTAAAAATGTTCGGCTGTTTAAGGGATAGCTCTATACACGTATGCAATTAAGAATGCTATCATTATGATTGCCTAATAATTACTATCATAATAGTCTTATCAAATACCTGTACTGTATATGTTTTAACATATATATATATATAATATGTATATCTCGTTCTGTACACATATATGTGTATATATCATTTTTTACAATCATGATTACTATTTTTAGTAAAATCATTGTCAAATTGCTATTATGTTTATTACTATTATGACCTATACCTATACCACAATCCTAAGCATCAGCCCTTTCTTTATGGTGACGGCATGTCCCACCTTCACTGAAGGCCGCCAATGGGATACCTCAGGAGCCGCAGCGAAGATCCACGGAATTTTCCTAAAGTGAAAGCACTAACCACCCAGAACCTCTACTGTAGGAATGAAAAACCAGCTTGGATGCAGTATTTCACAACCATAAGTGGTAAAAACAGGACAATTCCCCATTATGCAAATAATTCATGATTGTAATCCAACTAGTTACTATAGTTTTTCTTGTGTTTTTTGTACTGCATTTGGTCGTACCATGTGGTTGGGCTTTTCTTGTTAGTGGCCTCTTGGCTCCCCACTTAAGCGGGTATATGGATACCCCCTGACTATCTGAAGGGGGGAGATGAACAACGATCGAAAGTCGGGATACCCCATGTTCAGCCATACCCGACCAATCCACGATTTCTCGGCGCGATAAGAATAGATACAGCAAGGGACATCCCAGTTTCAGTTGGATTTATAACACTATATAAGCCTATATACCTACAATGTGAGGCCCCCAAGATAGCTAAGTTGGTTTACAACTCCAATTTCACTATGGTTTATGGTAACTATAGTTACTGGGGCTTACAAACCAACTTATAACTGGGGGGCCTCACATTGTACAGATATCTACCATCAACATGCATCAACCAGAGTTACATTAGGCAAATAAAAAATCAAATAAGATCAAATCAGACAACTTCTCCATCACGAAAATCCATGAAAATCCCATGAATCACCGAGAAATCTCCATCAACCATGAGTTTCCACGTGTCTTTCCCGGTGAAAACGGCGCTAATTAAAGGCGCTCCCCGGGCTCCACCAATTCGAGGCACTGATCAGCAGGGACCAAATGCCTGGAAGATTCTTCTGGTTGGTGGTTCTTACCATTGAATATAGGGGTTTGCGGTTGAAAATTTCCCAAGAAAACCAATCCAATGAATCATCTACACCCTGGTTATGACTAACAGTTCGCCATGGTATAGATGGCTCATTGAAATAGATGGTTTACCTATTAAAAATGGGTGGATCTTTCCATGCCTATGTTAAATAACCAGAGGGTAAATGGTAAAGTAATCTTAATATTGGCTGATATATCTGTAAACATATGTAAAGAATCAGTTAGATGTGCAACACCAAGTATTTGTAGATAACTTTCTGAATGGGAAACCATGCGTTTTCTATATCTATCTGGGTCAATTATGATATTTCACTAGGCTGAACAGTTCCTTGAAACTTGCAGCCACTTGAGATGTGGGATGATTCTCCCATATATCAGTGAGGTCAGTAGAATTTGCCCAATATCAGTTGTAAATCAACTTAGATCTGTTACTTAGCAAGACCAAATCTGATAGTGGATGTGGCCAAAAAAAAACATCAATACCTGAACTATCCCGCATTTAAATATGGCCATATAAGTTCTGTGTTTATTATGCGCCAAAGTTGGCAATTTAATGAAAAACATTTATACAAGGCCGCTCACCCCAAATATGTGTGGGGAAAACTGAGGATTCATGTCGAGATGTGAAATGACAAATTTCCAAGCCCTTGTGGCTATGATTCAAATACTATATAGATTGGAGAACCCTGATAGATCATACCAGGCAAACTTACCAACTTGTGCACAGTGAAGTGGAGAGAAACGCAACAATGATCTAATATGATCGAATTATAGAATACACATTTAGCAGCAGAACCCCTCTGCTTAATGTAAGAACTACCGTTGCGGTACCATGGTCTGACTGAATGACTGGTGCTAAACCAAAAACAAGGTCCCCAACAACGAAAGCAACAGCCCATGTTTGATCCTGTCCGGCCAAACTCACTCTGTAGGCCAGAATGTGGACAGGGATGAAGTAAAATATGAGCCTCCAAAGCAATTCAAATGGCATGGTAATGGTAGTTTTTCCATCATAGTTTTTTTTCTTCGGAGCATGTGCTTTCTCAGCCTATGGCCGTTGTTTGAAGCTGCCTCAAGTCTTGTTTTTCCGTGCCAAGGTGCCATTCCAAAACACCAAGCGCATAGGAGTTAAGCTTTCACACACCTGGGAGGCGAAAGGTCGTTGGAGACTTTAGGAAAAATCAGTGCTTCAATTGCGGATGAAAATGTGATTTTTGCACATTCAGGAATCCACACGGTACAGTGATTCCAGTGATTCCAGCATATACTCGTTATAATCGAACTTTGGATACCCCCCAAACACTCTAACAGTCATCACCAGCCCTATAGCTATTCGCATATGCGAATCCTTGCACCTTCGCAAAGCGATATCCTAAGCATTCGACGGTTGAATCGCTATGGGGCGATTGTTCCCATATCATGGTCAAAAAAAAACTAATGTTGGTCACCGTTGGTCGGAGAAATCCCCACTTTGGCAGGTTAAATTAGCGTTAATTAAATCAAAATCACCTTTTTGATTTCAATCGTCTCAACCTCAAAATTTCCCAATCCCAGGAGCCAATTCCTCTTGCCAAACACCGCGCACCGAACGTAGCCTTGGCGCAGCCACAAGTGGCGAGTGGCAATCCCCTGCCGGGAATACAATTGGTTTGTTCTACCATGATCGCTTCTTGGGGTTACCTTGGAAAGTGGTTCAACTCGCTTTCCCAAACGCCTTGGATGCTACCTGCCGTAATACCAAACTATTCTGGGTCTTTGAGACCATCCCAAAACTAGCTCAATTGGGATCATCATCCCACAATAGGGTGGAACATCAACGATGTTTGAAACGCCGAAATATTGGTGCATTGTACACAGAAGGCGGCATATAGCTATCTCATATATCACCTAATGATGCGAATATATTCTAATTGGTGGTTAGAAGAACCCCCCTGAAGAAATATGAGTTCGTCAGATTGGATCATCATCCCAACTATTGGGGAACATAAAAAATGGATAAACATGGTCCAAAACCACCAACCAGATATTGATGTGATACCACCAAAATCATCGATCATTTCACCAGGGGAAACGAAATCAACGGAATCCAACCGACCCTAAATTATGACCCCTGCAAAAATTGAGCCGGTTCTAGGATAACTCTCGTTGATTGGAAAAAGGCACATTTTTACGGGCTTATCTTCTCTAAATCCCCATGAAAGAAGTTCAACTGGTCAAACTCATGAAAAATATTGGTGCTTTTTAGTTGTCCCAAGCCTCAGTTTCCAAACTTGGTAGAAGATTTCCCGGGTTTCATCAAATCTAGGGGTGACCAACTTTTAAGATAAACCCAAAATCCGAAATGAGCCATGAAACATACTCCCATCCCCATTATACTGGCTGGCAAATGGGTATCGCGCTAAGTGTAGGCTGAAATAATCACCAAGAAACATCAATGAAACAATTAGGCCAACAACTCCTGAAATTGCAAACCAGCCAACAAAGCTACAAGTCTAATGGCTCGAATCCACGCACATTCATACATGATTCATTATACTGGCAATTGGTTAGGAGGGATCATGGATTCCAAAAAACCCCAATTTACAAAGATATATAAAGGGTATATAAGCTCCAAACTAATCATCAACGAACAGGCGGTGTCTTAATGTGTCTTACCGCCCCTACTCCCACTATCCCAGCAGCGGTTAAATCCCCGTCTTTCATGGATAGATTTCACCATGCTACGCAGGGTCCCATGGTCCCAAACATGGGGCGTTAATTCACCATGGTGCCATGGTGAAGTAACCTCAACTGCACCTCCAAGTAGGTTTGATCCATTGTATACAATGTGAGGCCCCCCAGTTATAAGTTGGTTTAGATTCGCCACAGTAACTATAGTTATAAGTACCATAAACCATAGTTATTGGAGTTATACACCAACTTAGCTATCTTGGGGGCCTCACATTGTATATATATATATATATATATATCCCACTGACCCTCTGGTAATTTCACAGTTAGCTATTGAAAATTGCCATTTGGTTCCTGGATTTACCCATGAAATTCATGGTGATATTATGATATGTTCCATAGTTTGTTGTGTGTTTACCAGAGGCTAATCCCCGTGAAGGTTTAAACGTTTAAATCCCACCTTGAATCATATTCCATAATCCCATTATTTTTAACATTATGAGAATATTGATATACCAATGATCCCATATTGAATTATAATCCAGTGTCCCATCGTCACCGCCATGGCATGCCATGGCACATGGCACTGGCCGTGGCGAAGCCAATGGCCAGTGGCAGGGACGATGCCTTCGTCATGCTCAAGCTATCTTCGCCGCTGATGCCTAGTCGTCCCAATGGGGGCTTTCCCCGTGGCTTTGCCACGGGGGGCACCCAGGAGGCTGCAACCCGGTGGTTAAACTAATCAAATCTTAAAGAGAATCAACAACAGTACATGATCATGTTTTTTTTGGACATGATCAATGAAAAAATAACGGGATACTGTAATAGCTTAAATAGTGGGGAGAGATTGGGTAAATGGTGACCAAAACTAATTGTGGTCTATCAAGGGCTTCCGAACCTTCAAAAAATACACCACTGGGGGTGACTTATGAACCATCTATTATTGGGGGTTCACTGTTCGGGGGTTGGTTAAACCATGTTAAACCCCTATGAAGCTAGAGGTAAAGCCACTACTAAGCCTGGTAAGACTCATCTTCAATGAATTCAACTATTGTATCCTTACATGAAGTTGTATAGGGAGTAAGCATCCGTATCTAAACATGGCGAGGTGAAATACCCTATCAACGGAGGGCGCAATGGGAAAATCATCCAGAATTGGTAGGTTTTCCATTGCCACTGTTTAACGGTGTATCCACATGTCGCTCAAATGCATATGGAGCAATCATCAGTTCTATCCCCCTGTTGATTGCAAAAAAATTGCATATGAATCCCCCTTGCCAACCGTTGCCAACAACTTACATCACATGACGAGTTGGAACATATCTGGCAATCCATTGATCCAAGTGATAAGTCAGTGATGGATGAATTTCGAATCCAATATCCTCCAGTAAACTAACATAGCATTGGAAAATCATGGAACATCACCATTTTTAATGGGTAAATCAACTATAAATGTTTTTTTCCCAAAAGCATCTCCGATGCTTGGGTTCTCGTTTAGTTGCACTCGCCGCGGGGGAGCGAGACTGAGTGGTCGACGGAGATGTGTTGGATGGA